ATGGTGCAATATATTAACAGTTCGTTTGGTAAATTGCTGCACATTTCCCATTGTACAACGCTACGGAATCTGATGGCGCTATATAAATAATAAAATAATAATGAGCACAAGAGCTGACAGTCGCCTCCTAGAGCAGAAAGAGGGCTGACCAATTAAGAGCTTCATATTCTGGTCTACGTTGGCTAATTTTATACCATAAACCCTCAATACGGACCTGATTGATAGATTTGGATGACAATAGAAGAATTAAACAATCCTCATTGTCAGAGGAAAAAGAAACTGACTTCTAGTCACCCTCTTCTATCAGCAAACCTAGGAAAATGAGAGAAAGCGCCACCTAGTGAATGAATACCATATTGCTGTAATAAACACAGAGTGGAGATAATGGGATTAAGTGACAATCACCCTGTAGGTTGATGTATTTAATTGATCACTTTCTCGCTGTAACAACATTGTGCATTTTTTAGATTCTGACACCTTGACAAATCTCTCTCCTGAAATCTGGGGGGCACTCAAACTCAGAAACATTCACCAGCTCTTATATGTATAATATTACTCCTACGTTGGAATTAGTGTAAGACCCACCGGTATTGGGGTACTGTGACGTAATTAGTGTAAGACCCACCGATATTGGGGTACTGTGAAGTAATTAGTGTAAGACCCACCGTTATTGGGGTACTGTGACGTAATTAGTGTAGGACCCACTGATATTGGGGTACTGTGACGTAATTAGTGTAAGACCCACCGATATTGGGGTACTGTGACGTAATTAGTGTAAAACCCACCGATATTGGGGTACTGTGACGTAATTAGTGTAAGACCCACCGATATTGGGGTACTGTGACGTAATTAGTGTAAGACCCACCGATATTGGGGTACTGTGACGTAATTAGTGTAAGACCCACCGATATTGGGGTACTGTGATGTAATTAGTGTAAGACCCACTGATATTGGGGTACTGTGACGTAATTAGTGCAAGACCCACCGGTATTGGGGTACTGTGACGTAATTAGTGTAAGACCCACTGATATTGGGGTACTGTGACGTAATTAGTGTAAGACCCACTGATATTGGGGTACTGTGACGTAATTAGTGCAAGATCCACCGGTATTGGGGTACTGTGACGTAATTAGTGTAAGACCCACCGGTATTGAGGTACTGTGACGTAATTAGTGTAAGACCCACCGGTATTGGGGTACTGTGACGTAATTAGTGTAAGACCCACCGGTATTGAGGTACTGTGACGTAATTAGTGTAAGACCCACCGGTATTGGGGTACTGTGACGTAATTAGTGTAAGACCCACTGATATTGGGGTACTGTGACGTAATTAGTGTAAGACCCACCGGTATTGGGGTACTGTGACATAATTAGTGTAGGGCCCACTGATATTGGGGTACTGTGACGTAATTAGTGTAAGACCCACTAATATTGGGGTACTGTGACGTAATTAGTGTAAGACCCACTGATATTGGGGTACTGTGACATAATTAGTGCAAGACCCACCGGTATTGGGGTACTGTGACGTAATTAGTGTAAGACCCACTGATATTGGGGTACTGTGACGTAATTAGTGCAAGACCCACCGGTATTGGGGTACTGTGACGTAATTAGTGTAAGACGCACCGGTATTGAGGTACTGTGACGTAATTAGTGTAAGACCCACCGGTATTGGGGTACTGTGACGTAATTAGTGTAAGACCCACCGGTATTGAGGTACTGTGACGTAATTAGTGTAAGACCCACTGGTATTGGGGTACTGTGACGTAATTAGTGTAAGACCCACTGATATTGGGGTACTGTGACGTAATTAGTGTAAGACCCACCGGTATTGGGGTACTGTGACATAATTAGTGTAGGGCCCACTGATATTGGGGTACTGTGACGTAATTAGTGTAAGACCCACTAATATTGGGGTACTGTGACGTAATTAGTGTAAGACCCACCGATATTGGGGTACTGTGACGTAATTAGTGTAGGACCCACTGATATTGGGGTACTGTGACGTAATTAGTGTAAGACCCACTGATATTTGGGTATTGATTTTGGAGGATTTGGATAGTAATATCACTTTAATTATAATTTGGGGTATTGATTTTGGAGGTAAGACCCACTGATATTTGGGTATTGATTTTGGAGGATTTGGATAGTAATATCACTTTAATTATAATTTGGGGTATTGATTTTGGAGGTAAGACCCACTGATATTTGGGTATTGATTTTGGAGGATTTGGATAGTAATATCACTTTAATTATAATTTTCATAGAGCAGCTTTATGATATGATATGCATTGTGAATTTATACATCAAAACACTATTACTTTAATTGTTAAAATTTGACACTGCATTTTTTTAAACTGCGTTTATCACATTAATATACATGTTCTCACAACAGATCATTAAATAGACCAGCTTAATTAGCACTATTTTGTCGTGGTAACACAATATGGCTGTATGGTGGAACTGAATCCCCATATTTGTTTGCTGAGATAGGTGATTTTAAAGGGACACTCCAGACCCCTGAAGCACTTTAGCTTGCTTAAAAGCTTTATGTATTTTTAAGTGTGCCCTTGTTTTTTCATTTTGCAAACAGTGCAGGTTTCAATGGAAATTTACACTTTTATACATTAAAATGGTTACACCCCCTTGGCTTTCAATCAGACAGCAGGTCCTGTTACTTCCTGGTTTGGTTAGCTCAGTGGAGCTAAACTCAAGATACAGCAACTGCTCAGAGCTCCTGGCTTGCAAAGACTTCTCGTTGAGTTACATAAGTAAAACTGTGATTCGACAACCAAAGAAAGCCTAGGCGGGATTAGAAGGGAGGGCGCTTGTAAAGGCTGCACACAAGAGAACTGCAGGAAGTTACTTTTAGATATATCCCAATAAAAAAAATGTATAATTAAATGCTGTATGGTAGATCTATTAAACAGTGATTTTTATTTATTTTTGTATTTGGGCAGTTTAGTGTCCCTCTAAGTAGCCTTATAACATTTCAAAATGTATTTTAGCACCCCCCCCCCCCATGTGTATCTCTCCCCTAGCCTACCATGTGTCTCTCTCTCCTAGCACCCCCTCCATGTGTCTCTCTCTCTCCCCAACCCCCACACCCCAATGTATGTGTCTCTCTCCCCTAGCCCTCCCAGGCCCTCCATTTGTCTCTTTCCCCTAGCCCCCATAGCCCTTCAATGTGTCTGCAACCCCTGTGACCGCAGTAGGTATGCCACTGCAACGGCAGCACCATTTCTGCAAACTGCATGTTCTGGGGGTGCCCCCAATTCCTTTTTGTCAGCAGAGAACGAAAGTGCAACATACAGCTCTATAGTGGCGTAATAGAAACGAGAACATACCGTATATACTCGAGTATAAGTCGACCCGAATATAAGTCGAGACCCCTAATTCTACCCCAAAAAACTGGTCCAGTGGATGGGCTGTGTAGGAGGGGGGCTGGCAGAGAGCTGTTACTTACCTTTCCTGCAGCTCCTGTCAGCTCCCTTCTCTCTCCTCCAGTCCAGTCAGCTCCCCTGTCAGCTCCCACTGCAAGTCTCGCGGTCTGAGTGCTGCGCGGAGCGTTGCCACGGTAACCCGTGGCAATGCTCTGACCCCGCGGCTCTCGCAAGATTTACAGTGGAGCTGACAGAACGGAGGAGAGAGAGGGAGCTGACAGGAGCTGCAGGAAAGGTAAGTAACAGCTCTCTGCCAGCCCCCAACAGGACCGCCGGGCTTGTAATGAGCCCAGCGGTCCTGGTCTGTATTATGGCAATGTAAGTTGCCATAATACAGACATTGACTCAAGTATAACTCGAGTGGGGGGTTTTCAGCACAAAAAATGTGCTGAAAAACTCGACTTATACTCGAGTATATACAGTATATAAAATAACACAAATCTTTATCAGGAACTTCAAATCAGGGCAAGAATACTTCCTAAAATCTCAATACGGAGCTGTTTTTTTGCACGGGACATCACAACGCTTAGACAGACACGGGCCTCCGTATTCTGAGCGTTGGGCTGCAAATGGTTAAAAATGATCTGTAAGAGGTGGAGATTAGGTTTCACGGTTATTTGCCAGGCCGTGTCTACAGTAAGTTTCTGTCAAGTTCCTATCTCCTGATACTCTAGCCGAGCGAGCCGGTAACATGATACTACCATAATTATACCAGTGAGCCACAGCACAGGGAAGATGCAGTAATCGGCAGCCTTATGTCCTCCTGCTGGACCATCGCAGCCGCCACCGTGGGCACAGACCCACCTCGCCTGGAGCTTAAGGGTCGACATCTCTTATTCTCTAATGTAGAACATTTGATTTGAAGAGAAAATGAGCGTCTGGTCGTGTTCGATTCTTTGACACCTGTACGAGCGACTGTCCATGGCCTACTGATTGTCTTCCTCTCCAATGACATGACTTTACAGAGACGATACCTGTGCTACAAGGTATGGGCAACGAGTTCCCTAATCCAGCCATCTTAATATAGGGGGATGAACCAAAGAACTTTTGTTAATTTTGCCTCAAAATTGCTGGTCCATTATTATGGCAGTGTTTTATTGAATAGACACCTTAATGTAGAAAGGCTTCGTAGGTCACACAGTGGGGGTACATCAGTGACACTTGCTGTTTATTCATTTATGTGTGATTGCTAGTGATATATAACACAGCTTTGCAATACATAAGGGTTTATTCAAAGAATGTGAGAAAATAGAAATTTTAGTTAAAAGAATATGGAAAAAGTCTCCCGCTATTTTAACACTTTGTTTATTTTGACCTCAATGTGCGTTTCCTTTGTCAGTTTTCAACCATTCACAGTTTAGTGAACAAACCCTTTATTGATCACATAATACTGTGAGCAGTATTTCCAATTATATTCAGATAATAATGTGAGCAGTATTTCCAATTATATTCAGATAATAATGTGAGCAGTATTTCCAATTATATTTTTAATCCGGAAACAATGAATTTACGGTCATTATAGTAAAAAAATCATCGGCCAGTCTGCTTTCACTGACTGGCCGATGGTATGATTTGGTTATGGAAGGGTAACATAGTTACATGGCTGAAAAGAGACATGTGTCCATCAAGTTCAGCGTTCCTCACATATGTTTTTGCTGTTAATCCAAAAGAAGGCAAAAAACACAGTCTGAAGCGCTTCCAATTTTGCAACAAACTAGGAAAAAATTCCTTCTTGACTCCAAAATAGGAGTCAGATATCTACTTGGATCAAGCAGCTATTACCCCACTAATTAGAAATGATATCCCTGTATGTTATGTTTTTGCAAGTATTTATCCAATTGCAGTTTAAACATCTATATGGAATCTGATAAAACCACCTCTTCAGGCAGAGAATTCCACATCCTTATTGTTCTAACTGTAAAAACCCCTTTCCTTTGCCTTAGACGAAATCTCCTTTCTTCCAGTCTAAAAGCGAGTCTTATGTATGTTGAATCCTATGTAAACACGGCTGTACATAGGACTCAACATACAGCTTATGTCGTGTCCTATGTACAGCCGTGTTTATATAGATTTCCAGACAATGGTTTGCATTGACTCAAAATATATTTGTATAATGTTATCATATCACCTCTGAGGCTCCATTTTTCTAAACTAAAAAGATTAAAATGCATAAACCTTTCTTCACAACTAAAATGCTCCATTCCTTTTATCAATTTTGTAGCCCTCCTCGGCACTTTTTATGGTGCCATGATATATTTCATTAGAACAGGTGCCCAAAATTGCACAGCATATTCAAGATGTGGTTTACCAGCGATTTATAATGAGGCAGAATTATATTTTCATCCCAAGAATTAATGCCCCTATTTATACATGAAATTACCTTACTGGCCTTAACAACTGCAGATTGACATTGCATATTGTTGCTTAATTTGTTGTCTATAACAATTCCCAAATTGTTCTCATGTGTTGTTATCCCGAATTCGCTTCCATTAAGTGTATACGTTGCTAGTGCATTCTTTACCCCAAAGTGCATAACTTTGCATTTTTTACATTAAATTTCATCAGCCATTTTAGTGCGCAGTCCCCCAGTCTTTCTAAATCCCTCTGCAGCAAAGTAATATCTTGCTCACATTGTATCACTTTACAGAGTTTTGTGTCATCTGCAAACACTGAAACATGACTTTTAATGCCTATTTTAAGATCATTTATAAATGTGTTAAACAGACCATAACCCTGAGCGACACTATTTAGCACTTTTGTGCTAAATAGTGTCACTCAGGGTTATGGTCTATTTAACACATTTATAAATGATCTTAAAATAGGCATTAAAATTTACTATTAACATGGCACTCCAGGCACCCAAGCACTTTCATATAAATTAAGTTGTTATGGTCCTGGGTGGACTCGTATCTTAAGGGGTTAAACCATTGTTGAAATGTTTAACCCCAAAGTTGCCTCCAGTGTCAGGGGTACTGCTGCTTAGCTGACAGTGGTCAGTTGATGCTCTTAACCAATCAGTGACTCCCCATTCACAAATCGGAAACCACGACAGGGCACTGAAAAATAGCTATGTTGAGTTGAGTTTAAGTAGCCTATGAATTGCTCTGCTTGGCCCACAGTGGTCATGTGACGATTGAACGTGTGTGCATGACGTCAGAGTGATGACCCACACACATTCGAGTGTCAAATCGAGTAAGATCCATGGAGCCATAAAAGGCTCTGTAGATCTTACCTGATTTGACACTCTCAAATGTGTGTGGGTCATCACGCTGACGTCATGCACACACGTTCAATCATCACCTGACTACTGTGGGCCAAGCAGAGCAATCCATAGGCTACTTAAACTCAACTCAACATAGCTATTTTTCAGTGCCCTGTCGTGGTTTCCGATTTGTGAATGTGGAGTCACTGATTGGTTAAGAGCATCAACTGACCACTATTTAACATATTTGAACTCAAAATAGCTATTTTTTAGTGCCCTATCGTGGTTCCCAACGACCCCCATGGTCTGGCCAATAATATGACAGTCAGAATGCTCAGACAGCGCAGCCTCCGTCTGGCGCTCCCCCGTATGGTATTCCAGCCAATCAGTATTGGCTTGAGTTCATGGTAATGTCTGTTAACTTTATTTTCTATATTTTCATAATCACGTTAACCTTTTATCTCTATAACATGATCATTTCCCGGCTTTTGCCCATGTTCCATTCTAATTCCTCCCAAACTGTCTATAGATAGGATTTCTTTCCCTGCCACTTGCTGAAATATTCCTGCACATTACATGCTTTTTGCTGCTCTTGAAATGATGATATTCTGAGTGAAATCTTTCTGATCAGATATTTTATGTATTTTTTCTCTCGCTGTTCTGTGTCAGCATGTTTCATAGCAATAACAATGCAGACTGTCCTGAGAAGAAAGACTCGGACTGCACTGGACAGGCTGCGCTGGCATCTGAGGAGAAGGTGGATCGGAACAGCCGCAAAATAGACTGCATCATTTGCTTCTCTAACTATAATCTGTCAAACAGACTGCCCCGCAGGTTATACTGCGGCCACACCTTCTGCCAGGCCTGCATCCGGCGGCTAGACACCATCACCAACGAGCAAAGATGGATTCCGTGCCCGCAGTGCCGTCAGAACACGCCCACGCCACGAGGAGGGGTGGCCATGTTGGATCTGGATCTGACGGCCTTTCTGGCAGTGAAGGCTGAGAAGAACACCCGGTCAGTCAGTAAAACCTTGGAGATGGACTCTGAACTCAAAGTATTTGGCAAGAATATTCCGGTCAGCAGCCAGCCCCCCGGATCATGTCAGGACCCTGTCCAGGATCCCCACTTTCCAAGGAGAATGTGCTGCAAGAATTGGTTCTGCTGCACCAACTGTGTGTAGACATAACAAGCTGACACAACGTAGCAGTGTTGGCACCAGACTGCCGATGCCGTGTCAGCTACACATTGCCACGGCCAAAGTGATCTACGTTTCTAAAAACAAGCACAGGGTTATTCAATAAAAAGTTAATTCACATAGAATTTCAACTTTTACTCCCAAAGTGACCGAACTCCAAGTCAGACAATACCAGGTCAGTTGTTTTGACCTAAAATCTTAAAATCCGAATCTGAATTCCTGACAATTGACACTTTAGTGACCATTGCTCTCAGTTCTATGTCAGATATTTTCCCTCATGTCATATTCCGATAAATAATCTAAATATTGTCTGAGACTAAATAATTCCATGAATGAATTTTCCAGCGTTTTATTCCTGTTATTGCTATAAAATAAATGTATGTATAAGGTAAGTGGGTGCACAGTATGAAATCATATTACTGCTGTTTGGACCGACGCGCAGAGGGCATCAGGGGAGATCTTCTATTGCTCCACCTACTAGACAGCCGGTTCAGAAGTTGGCTTTCCAGGATTACAGAGCTCCAGCTCCAGCTGTTAGGAAGCCATGGAAGCTGTAGATTGCCTGCTGCGTCATTACTCCGTTGACAATAAATAAGGGTAAGGTAGTCCGGAGCTCTGAAAACATACTGGACCAACAGCTCTTAGACTCAACTAATCTCCTAAAATCCCTATAGGCACCCCACGGTTTTAAACATGTCTCTGTAAAGGGTGTGTGGTGTAATGGAATGGGGTTTAATATAGTAAGTGCAGAGTTTAATGCAGGGGGTGCAGGATTTAATGCAGGGGGTGCAGAGTTTAATGCAGTGGGTGCAGGGTATAATACGGTATGTGCAGAGTTTAATGCAGGGGGTGCAGAGTTTAATGCAGGGAGTTGAGGGTTTAATGCAGTGGGTGCAAAGTTTATTGCAGCAGGTGCAAAGTTTATTGCAGCGGGTGCAGAGTTTAATTCAGGGGTGCAGAGTTTAGTGCAGTGTTTAATGTAGGAGATGCATAGTTTAATGCAGGGGTGCAGGGCTTAATGCAGGGGGTGCAGGGTTTAATGCAGTGAGTGCAGAGTTCAATACAGTGGGTGCAGGGTATAATATGGTATGTGCAGAGTTTAATGATGTGGATGCAGAGTTTAATGCAGTGTTTAATTTTGTGGGTGCAGGGATTAATGCAGTGGGTGTAGAGTTTAATGCCGGGGTGCAGGGCTTAATGCAGTGTGTGCACAGTTTAATGCAGGGGTGTAGGGTTTAATGGAGTGGGTGCAGGGCTTAATGCATTGGGGCAGAATCTAATGCAGTGGGTGCATAGCTTAATGCAAGGGGTACAGAGTTTAATGCAGGGACTGCTGAGTTTAATACAGTGGGTGCAGGGTATAATACGGTATGTGCAGAGTTTAATGCACTGGGTGCAGGGATTAACGCATTGGGGCAGAATTTAATACAGTGTATGCAGAATTTAATGCAATGGGTGCAGAATTTAATGCAGGGGGTGCAGGGTTTATTGGAGTGGGTGCAGGGCTTAATGCATTGGGGCAGAATTTAATGCAGTGGGTGCAGAGTTTAATGCAGTGGGTGCAGAGTTTAATGCAGGGGCGCAGGGTTTAATGCAGTGGGTGCACAAGGTAATGCAGGGGGTGCAAGGTTTAATGCAGTGGGTACAGAGTTTAATGCAGGGGGTGCAGGGTTTAATGCAGTGGGTGCCGAGTTTAATGCAGGGGGTGCAGGGGTTAATGCAGTGGGTGCAGAGTTTAATGCAGTAGGTGCACAGGGTAATGTAGTGGGTGCAGAGTTTAATGCAGGGGTGCAGGGTTTAATGCAGTGAGTGCAGGGTTTAATTCAGTGGGTGCAGAATTTAATGCAGTGGGTGCACAGGGTAATGTAGTGGGTTCAGAGTTTAATGCAGGGGATGCAGGGTTTAATGCAGTGGGTGCAGGGTTTAATTCAGTGGGTGCAAAGTTTAATGCAGTGGGTGCAGAGTTTAATTCAGGGGGTGCAGAGTGTAGTGCAGTGTTTAATGCAGGGGGTGCAGAGTTTAATGCAGTGTTTAATACAGTGGGTGTAGGGATTAATGCAGGGGTGCAGAGTTTAAAATACAGTGTGTGCAGGTTTTAATGCAGCGGGTGCAGAGTTTAATCCAGGGGGTGCAGGGTATAATACGGCATGTGCAGAGTTTAATACAGTGTGTGCAGGGTTTAATGCAGAATTTAATGCAGTGGGTGCAGGGCTTAATGCAGTGGGTGCAGGTCTTAATGCAGTGGGTGTAGAGTTTAATGCAGTGGGTGCAGAGTTTAATGCAGTGGGTTCAGGGTTTAATACAGGGGGTGTAGAGTTTAATGCAGGGGTGCATGGGTTTAATGCAGTGTGTGCAGAATTTAATACATTGGGTGCAGAGTTTAATGTAGGGGTGCAGGGTTTAATGCAGTGGGTGCAGGGATTAATGCATTGGGGCAGAATTTAATGCAGTGGGTGCAGGGTTTAATGCAGTGGGTGCATAGTTTAATGCAGGGGGTGCAGAGTTTAATGCAATGTTTAAGACAGTGGGTGTAGAGTTTAATACAGGGGGTGCAGAGTTTAATGCAGGGGTGCATGGTTTAATGCAGTGTGTGCAGAATTTAATACATTGGGTGCAGAGTTTAATGTAGGGGTGCAGGGCTTAATGCAGTGGGTGCAGAGTTTAATGCAGGGCTTAATGCAGTGGGTGCAGAATGCAGTAGGTGCAGAATTTAATGGAGGGGTGCAGAGTTTAATGCAGGGGCTGCTGAGATTAATACAGTGGGTGCAGGGTATAATACGGTATGTGCAGAGTTTAATGCAGTGGGTGCAGAGTTTAATACAGTGGGTGCATGGATTAATGCATTGGGGCAGAATTTAATGCAGTGGGTGCAGAGTTTAATGCAGTGGGTGCAGGGCTTAATGCAGTGGGTGCAGAGTTTAATACAGTGTGTGCAGAATTTAATGCAATGGGTGTAGAGTTTAATGCAGTGGGTGCAGAGTTTAATGCAGTGGGTTCAGGGTTTAATACAGGGGGTGTAGAGTTTAATGCAGGGGTGCATGGGTTTAATGCAGTGTGTGCAGAATTTAATACATTGGGTGCAGAGTTTAATGTAGGGGTGCAGGGTTTAATGCAGTGGGTGCAGGGATTAATGCATTGGGGCAGAATTTAATGCAGTGGGTGCAGGGCTTAATGCAGTGGGTGCATAGTTTAATGCAGGGGGTGCAGAGTTTAATGCAATGTTTAAGACAGTGGGTGTAGAGTTTAATACAGGGGGTGCAGAGTTTAATGCAGGGGTGCATGGTTTAATGCAGTGTGTGCAGAATTTAATACACTGGGTGCAGAGTTTAATGTAGGGGTGCAAGGCTTAATGCAGTTGGTGCAGAGTTTAATGCAGGGCTTAATGCAGTGGGTGCAGAATGCAGTAGGTGCAGAATTTAATGGAGGGGTGCAGAGTTTAATGCAGGGGCTGCTGAGATTAATACAGTGGGTGCAGGGTATAATACGGTATGTGCAGAGTTTAATGCAGTGGGTGCAGAGTTTAATACAGTGGGTGCATGGATTAATGCATTGGGGCATAATTTAATGCAGTGGGTGCAGAGTTTAATGCAGTGGGTGCAGGGCTTAATGCAGTGGGTGCAGAGTTTAATACAGTGTGTGCAGAATTTAATGCAATGGGTGCAGAGTTTAATGCAGGGGTGCAGGGTTTAATGGAGTGGGTGCAGGGCTAAATGCATTGGGGCAGAATTTAATGCAGTGGGTGCAGGACTTAATGCAGTGGGTGCAGAGTTTCATGCAGTGGGTGCAGAGTTTAATTCAGGGGTGAAGAGTGTAGTGCAGTGTTTAATGCAGGAGATGCACAGTTTAATGCAGGGGGTGCAGGGTTTAAGGCAGTTGGTGCAGAATTTAATGCAGTGGGTGCAGGGCTTAATGCAGGGGTGCAGAGTTTAATGCAGGGGTGCAGGGTATAATACAGTGGGTGCAGAGATTAATGCAGTGGGTGCAGGGTATATTACGGTATGTGCAGAATTTAATGCAATGGGTGCAGAGTTTAACGCAATGGTGCACGGTTTAATACAGGGGGTGTAGAGTTTAATGCAGGGGGTGCAGGGTTTAAAGCAGTTGGTGCAGAATTTAATGCAGTGGATGCAGGGCTTAATGCAGTGGGTGCAGAGTTTAATGCAGGGGTGCAGAGTTTAATGCAGTGTTTAAGACAGTGGGTGTAGAGTTTAATGCAGGGGCTGCAGAGTTTAATGCAGGGGTGCATGGTTTAATGCAGTGTGTGCAGAGTTTAATACATTGGGTGCAGAGTTTAATGCAGGGGTGCAGGGCTTAACGCAGTGGGTGCCGAGTTTAATGCAGGGGTGCAGAGTTTAATACAGGGCTTAATGCAGTGGGTGCAGAGTTTAATGCAGGGGTGCAGAGTCTAATGCAGGGGTGCAGGGCTTAATGCATTGGGGTAGAATTTAATGCAGGGGTGCAGAGTTTAATGCAGTGTTTAAGACAGTGGGTGTAGAGTTTAATGCAGGGGCTGCAGAGTTTAATGCAGGGGTGCACGGTTTAATGCAGTGTGTGCAGAGTTTAATACATTGGGTGCAGAGTTTAATGCAGGGGTGCAGGGCTTAACACAGTGGGTGCCGAGTTTAATGCAGGGGTGCAGAGTTTAATGCAGGGCTTAATGCAGTGGGTGCAGAATTTAATGCAGGGGTGCAGAGTCTAATGCAGGGTTTGATTGAGTGGGTGCAGGGCTTAATGCATTGGGGCAGAATTTAATGCAGTGTGTGCAGAGTTTAATACAGTGGGTGCAGATTTTAATGTAGTGGGTGAATGGCTTAATGCAGTGGGTCAGAGTTTAATGCATGGAGTGCAGAGTTTAATGCAGGGGGTGCAGGGCTTAACGCAGTGGGTGCAGAGTTTAATGCAGTGGGTGCACAGGTTAATGCAGGGGGTGCAAAGTTTAATGCAGGGGCTGCAAAGTTTAATGCAGTGGGTGCAGAGTTTAATTCAGGGGTGCAGAGTTTAGTGCAGTGTTTAATGCAGGAGATGCACAGTTTAATGCAGGGGTGCAGAGTTTAATACAGTGGGTGCAGAGTTTAATGCAGTGGGTGCATGGCTTAATGCAGTGGGTGCAGAGTTTAATACAGTGGGTGCAGAGTTTAATGCAGTGGGTGCATGGCTTAATGCAGTGGGTGCAGAGTTTAATGCAGGGGTGCAGAGTTTAATGCAGTGGGTGCATGGCTTAATGCAGTGGGTGCAGAGTTTAATGCAGGGGTGCAGTGTTTAATGCAGTGGGTACAGGGCTTAATGCAGTGAGTGCAGAGTTTAATGCAGTGTGTGCAGAGTTTAAAATACAGTGTGTGCTGGGTTTAATGCAGGGGGTGCAGAGTTTAATGCAGGAGGGGGCAGAGTTTAATGCAGTGGGTGCAGAGTTTAAAATACAGTGTGTGGAGGATTTAATACAGTGGGTGCAGAGTTTAATGCAGTGGGTGCAGAGTTTAATGCAGGGGGTGAAGAATGTAATGCAGTGGGTGCAGAGTTTAAGCAGTGTGTGCAGAGTTTAACGCAGTGTGTAGAGTACTTAATGAATGTGGTGGGTGCAGAGCTTAATGCAGGGGGTGAAGAGTTTAATGCAGGGGATGCAGGGTTTAATGCAGGGGGAGCAGGGCTTAATGTAGTGGGTGCAGAGTTTAATGCAGGGGTGCATGATTTAATGCAGGGGTGCAGAGTTTAATGCAGGGGTGCAGAGTTTAATGCAGTGTGTGCAGGATTTAATGCAGGGGTGCAGAGTTTAATGCAGTGGGTGCAGGGTTTAATGCAGTGGGTGCGGGGTATAATACAGTGGGTGCAGAGTTTAATGCAATGGTTAATATGAATTCTGTGCATATTGAATGTCTGTCTTCAGCACACACAGCATGCTGGTGATTGGCATCAATAAAGGATCAGGCTGAAGGGAGAACGTGGTCTCGGCGCAGGATATATATTTTTTTTTTTTGCCCTTTGAACAATAAATAGTGACTGTGGAACTCTGCAAAGTGTGGGCAAAAAGTGTTGGATTTTGGGGAAAGTCGCAGTCACAGTTCATTACTTGACCTTAATGATGTGAGTTAGTTGTAAGTTCACTAGAGCTGGGCGTTTAGTGAATACATTCCTGAGTTAATGCTGTGGGATCAGAGCCTAGGTGTTGCTACCAAATACAGGCATTCGAGAATTCTTATTCTTTCACCTTTTTTTTATTTCATTACCTCAATAATACTAATAATAATAAGTTCAGCCTGTTTTCCGGGTGATCCAGCCTGAAGCTTGAGCAAAACACAGCATTCACAGCTTTTCACTAGAGGGCGCTGCAGCTCCACGTCTGTAAACGGCCAACCAGAAATGAAAAGGCTTTCTGTTATAATAGATTCATCCCAGAACCCTAAAACTGGCACAGAGATTGTTCATTAACCCCTTAAGGACCAAACTTCTGGAATAAAAGGGAATCATGACATGTCACACATGCCATGTGTCCTTAAGGGGTTTAAAAGTAAACGCGGTGATTTTCTACCCCAATTCGTAAGTTTAGGCTGAAATCCCTGAAATATATTGTAATAATTTGCATGGAGATTCTTCTTTTTAACACAATGTCGCAGGAATGCTCGCAATTTACCAATTGTGATAAAGTATTTATTGTAACCTTTAAACTATCAAAGCCAATAGGAATCCCTTCATAAAGTGTCTCCGTTTTATGTTACGATTGAGCGATACAAAGTATCAGCGGACTGAAACTATCGTCATAGTGATTGGACGCTATAGCTCCTCTAATTATTTGTGCAATTGATGTTCAGGAGTGATTAAAGGACCACTCTAGGCACCCAGACCACTTCAGCTTAATTAAGTGGTCTGGGTGCCAGGTCGAGCTAGGGTAAGGTAAGTGTTTAACCCCTTCTTCTACCCAGAGCCCGGCGGGAGGGGGTCCCTGTGGGTGGGGGCACCCTCAGGGCACTATAGTGCCAGGAAAACGAGTATGTTTTCCTGGCACTATAATGGTCCTTTAACTAAATCAGGGGTAGTACCTTCAGCTCTACAGATGTTGTGCTTTGCCAGCATTCTGGCTGTAAGAGCATTATCGGAGCTGTAGAGTCCCGGACGTTGCCTACCCATGAGCTAAATCCTCATTTTAAGTCAGTGTGTGGGTGATCAGTCATACTCCCTGATGAAGTGATTGCATAGTCACGAAATGCGTAGGAGTTCAATCGTTATTTGACTTTTGTCACATGCTGTATCATGCTGGAGGGACCAGATATTTAACACATATTACATGGACATTTCACGTATATTACCTGGGTATTTAACACATATTACATGGGAGACAGATTATATAGGTTATACAGTTTTGAACTATTGTGGCAGTATTTCACCTAGATACATTATTGCATCGATCACAACTGAATGTGAACCCACACATTAAAGTGAGGGCGGTAACAACTATTCTCATCATATCCACTAAGAGTGGAGTTTAATTAATAGAAATAATAAAATAGGTGGGTGCCGTCTAAGAGGTCTGTGGGGTTGGGAGAAGTAACAAGCAGAGCCACCCGTTTAACCTCGGGACAGCTCTCCGCGTTCGCCAAAACCATTACTTTACACGTGGAGCGTGGCGTCTGGAGGCCGGACAAGTTTTCCACATTACGGACTGGGTGTGAGAGTTCTGTAGTTTTGGGGGCAGGGGTTATTAGTTTTTCTGCAATGTTGTGCCAATAGTCTCAAGGACACTAGCGATATAACATTTTAATTTTTTTTAGATTTTTTTTTCAGTTTTTAACTTTTTATGTGGTAGAGTACTTTTTTTGCATATATGTTGAACGTTACTCTGAAAACGTGCATATCCTTGTAGAATATACACAGCGTTGATCGTGGAAGGTCTTTACCTGTTCTCTTCCTCCGTGTGTTATGTTGGCAGATTGCTCAGTGATGCTGAACGCACTGCGTTACCCTGCAGAGCACTGGGCAGAGAGCTCCGTATGCACCATTGTGGCAGGCAGGGTAGCCGCCATATTGTGTATAATTGGGCCACGTGTGGATTACAGTGACGTGCATGATATACTGTTTATTTTCTTCTAGCGAGATGATGTAAATATAGAGAGGAAGGGTTTGACACGTATTATGTTTCCTGTAGAGACATTTCTGGAAGCCTGGAATTGGGTATACACTGTATTCTTGTATATTAGCGCTCTTGTAAACTGCCTGGGGTGATGTGTGGGCCGTGACTCTCAATCAGCTATTAATCACTCTGTTTCCTCAGCTCCCAGCCCGTGGTGGGGCTCCTGAAAGGCAAAACAGCACGTTTCACATTAGTGCAGGGAGGGGGGGGAGGCAATAGTTTTTAACTAACAGAGGTTGCTAGCACTCACTGTGATCTCATACAGCATGGGGGTTCAAACTGCACCCCTCAATATTTTGCTGGACCAAAACGCCCATAATTCCATGGGGGACAGCGTTGTATTTTGCTGTTGCCTGACAATAATTTCTTAACACACAGAAGTTACCAAAAATATGTGACTAATTACAATGTATAACTAACACAAATATATAAAATCACCTAAAATATTTAACTAAAATGTATAATATAATTAAAACATAAACTAGCCAACCTGGGGCTCAAAAATAAAATCTGCACCCAGGCGCCTGTGTCCCTAGGATCAGCCCTGACAGTATTTATAGTTAGGGTGGAGTTAATGTTGGGGGGGGTTAGAGTTAAGCTATTATGAATGGAATCTCCTAACATTCTCAGCCAGACCTAGCCTTATCTGCACTCAGTCCTGTTTTACCCACCTATGTCTGTGTTCCATACTGCCAGAACGATCCTGCCAATGGCCATGGTGACACCAGTAACCAGCACAGCTCCTGGGGCTCCCTAGTAATGTTAAGACACGGCAGGTGATAATGTCACCCAGATAGCGATTAATCGTAACACGCAGTATTACTGCAAGAAACTGAGCAGTTTTATTTCTCTAACAGGTGCATTCATTAGTGAATAACTTGTAAAACTGGAAAATAAAGCCCCCTAAATTAGCCAAGAATTGGATTTATTTCCTGCTATTTCGGTGTAAATATCCATTTTTTTTGTGAACAATAATAGTCTCCTAAATGATTTAACAGAATGTCCTGTGTTCTTTGTAACGAATTGATAAATGGTTTCACTTTTCTCCCAGATAAACAGATGGATTGTCTGTGAGTGATATCGGGATCGGTATATATTAAGCCTCTGATTTACAATAATCGCTTTTTCGAAGGTCAGAGGGTCACTGTATCCTGCATCTCCCATCTTTCTATCTATAAAGCTTTCACTGTTATTACCCTGTGATTCCTGTAACCGGCACCCATTCTCAGTAACAGCTCCCAAACACCTTCCTGCCATGATGGTAAAATTACAATAAGGCGTGCGACCCAGTATTAGAGGTTCCATGCCGCATTACACAGTGATTGAGCTAAATATACACGAACAATGGAATCACATACTGAAATACTAACAATGTGTTTACCACTGATAATGATCGACACGTGTGCTATTATTACACAACTCAATGGAACTTCTTCCATTGACCTTATAAAGAACTGGATAGATTGGTAAAGGTTGCTTGCTCGCTCTCTGCCGCCTGCCGATGACTGCAGCGTCCAGCAGCTGCGATTGATCAGTCAGCGATACTTATGTCGAGATGGCCTTTCTTCGTGACAGCCAGCATGCTGTGTAATTTCACCCTCCATGTGGGACGATGGGTGGGGTGGAAGGGAACCCCGCAGGCTTTTGTGAGGGATTTTCTTGGGTGTGAGTTTGCAAATCACCCACGTATGTTTCGCAATCAGCGCAATGAGTCAGATCTGCTGTTTTAACCTCTGGATTAATAAGTAAATAAATATCGGTCCGATGGCCAATACAAGCTGCAAGGAGAGTTATCAATGGGGGAATAAGTACACAAAAAGAGTCTGAGCCCAGGACAGCTGGGTGCAGTGGGCGAAAAAAAAGGAATACACAGAAAATGTGTAAAAATAAATCTTTTCTGCTTAACATAGCATTGCTGTAAACAAAATATTGGGTCCGTAGTTCCAAGCGGAAGATGATGAGACATTCATGAAGCATATTCCGAATATTTCTGGTTTATTGCAGCATTGGGTTAGAAAGAACACAATACACTATAAGCTCAGGGTCCCTCCCACAGCGCCACCGCCTGCACGATCTGAATGCAGTTCTGCTATCATTTTAATCTTTTTTAAAAAGAACCCTTCTTAGACTGAATATAGCTATTTTATTATTCGAATTGAGATGGACAGTCATGACTATGGGCCCCATATACCCTATGTTTTATATGCTATCCAAAGATTAGTACATTTATAAATGCATAGGGAAACAAACAGAACAATTTATATTAAGACTTGATACAATAGGTGCACATGCTCGGTCTGGGAGCTTACAATCTAGTGTTTGTTTCTCTTTTATAGAAAGCTGTTTATTCACTAAACTAAAATTGTAGAGATTTAACAATTCAACAGTAAATTAACAGCAAAATAGCCACACTGGAGAAATAGCTAAAATGGGAATGTTTACATTTTTGGGACTAAAAATTATTTGCAAATGCTTTGTAAATTCTCCCTAAGTCCTACTTTAGTAAATAGGCCATATATTGTGTAACAAGATGTCCCATGAGCTTACAGTCTTGCGTTTGCAGGATACCCCATGAGCTTACAATCTAAAGGAGATAATGGTGATGGAGGAATTTGGAGCCTGGAGTGTGCAATTGTCTCCCCTCTACTACAATTCTTTTGGGAATCTCCGGACCCTGGGGATTGGGATAATTAACACCTATCTGATAGATCAGATTGCAGAACAGTCAATAACCTCTTATCCATTGTCAATCCGACAAAGTAAACAGGACATCTTTGCTGATTCTGCATCTCAACATCACAGGCTGTTGCAAGAAATATTTCTTTGATTTTGATAATTTTTTTCATTTTTACACCCACCAGCAATATCTTCCCCAGTTTGAGATTAAGTTGATAGCGCGAGACTGACCTTTTTACCATGCCTTCCAAAACTGTCATTAAACAGACCACAATGTCAGAATCTGCACGGCATAAATCTAGCTTTTTCATGAACTGGATGTCCAATGACGTTTTTGTTTAGCAAACCAATTTTTTGGAGATTTTGGGAGGAGTATACTGGCAACGCTTGCTGGGAAATCGGAGTGATTGCTTCCAGGAAATCACGTGATCGGGGTCTGTTCAAATAACAAAAGATATTCTAAAATTATAATAAAATGTCACAACTAAAATCTAGACCCTGCCTCGGCCAGATGTCCAATTACCAGGGCATGTTCACTGACCGTATCGCGCAGGGCTTGGATAATTAAGGAAATCATTGTGGCGGGGTTTGCGTGATTAATGGCATGTTACTTCAAACAGGAATTGTCAAATATTGAACATTGTACGTGACTCAGATTCCAAGTGACGGCCAGGTGGTATATCATGAAACTTGGGTTTTATGTAATTCTTGCAAATTAATTTTTTATTGAAAGATGTTTCAATCAATTTGAGAAAGCAGGATAAACATAAATAAAAGAGTAGCTAATGGTAAAAGCAAAAACGAAAATAAAAACAGGACATTTCATGAAAAGAGAAATAATTTTAAAATCAATGTAGTGAAATAGTTTGGCAGTTGAAATCCCAAAAATGCACCAAATAAACCTGCTGCAATAAAATGATCCTCTCCGAATCAATGCTAAATAATCACGAATCTAATGAAAATTTGCTATTTAACGGTTACACAGACAGTTATAGAGTTATTCACTAAAGTGGGCCTTTGAGGTTGGTGATCTCGGCCTGTGGCATGGGTGTTGAAGCCATCCTGTCAGCCCTCAGGGCTGAAGCAGCAGTGGACAGGGGCCAGCAGCTCTGCGAGCAATTGCTTGCCTTTTCCAGCCCCAGCCGTCTGGCGGTGCAGTCTCCCCTCCCCACGGTGTGGCTCCCCCTGTTATCCCTTCCGTGGCATCCTTCCTGGTCGCCCTCCGGCTTAGCTGAGCCCTGGTTCCTATCCTCGGCCCGGTATAGGAGCCGCACGGCCTGCAACCCAGCCTGTCCAGCAGAGGGATACACAGTGTCCCCCTCACACACTGCCCCCTCACACAGTACCTCCACACACACACAGCAAACCTCACACACACACAGGACCCTTCACACACACTGCGCCCTTCACACAAGCACGCTGCCTCCCTCACACACACACATGACCCTTTACACACACAAAGAAAAAAGTAGAATAGAAAATAGAAAAAAAGAAATAGATACATTTAAGAGGTTTTGTTTTTTTAAACCCTCCTTTAAATTTTTTTAAACTCGCCCTTTCGCTATAAAATTAGTTACTGTGACACTGGTGGGCGGTAAGGAAATATTACCATCAACAAAGATACAAAAATGGTCGGTAGGTATTAAAAGGTTGACTACCCCTGCATTACTGTATGACATTATGCAACGTTATTTATATGTTAATTTATGATAGTTTTATTATGTACAGTTTTACACGTTTGGATGTGTTATACAGTATTTGGTTGTTTTAATAAATACTGTGGCCGATTATATCCAATTTTAGTGTCTGTCGTTATTTGGGAATATATGCTTGGTTTGACGGGAATATCTCATCCAATGCACACTACGTACATACATGACCTTTACTCCAGTCCAAGCAATCCCTCTGCTCACACGCAGCTCCAGCACAGAGCATCTCAACAAGAAGCCTTTACTTGTATGACTGGGCTGGGAAGAAGTGGAAGGCTTGCAAAGGCTGCAGACAAGAGACAGACTCAAGATCTGTAGCTTTTGCAATCGGCTGTTAGAAATACCCCCAATGAGAGAAATGCACGTATGGTTTCATTTCGAATATATCTACTAAATAGTGATATTTATTTATCTGTAATACATTTTTGAAGACCTCAGCCTGACCTAGTCAACTACCTAGTTTACCTTTATACGTGGCAAGGCGCCATCATTCTGCCAGTGTGAATCCATTATATTACAGTATTTGTTGGAGCATATACATAAAGATGAAAGTAAAGAAAAATATGTTTTAAGCAGAATCCCAAACTATGACAGAGCCACTTTACCAATCTGGAGGTAATGTGGCATTCTTTACCAATCTGGAGGTAACGTGGCATTCTTTACCAATCTGGAGGTAATGTGGCATTCTTTAGGTAATGTGGCATTCTTTACCAATCTGGAGGTAACATGGCATTCTTTAGGTAACGTGGCATTATTTACCAATCTGGCAGTAACGTGGCATTCTTTAGGTAACGTGGCATTCTTTACCAATCTGGAGGTAACGTGGCATTCTTTAGGTAATGTGGCATTCTTTACCAATCTGGAGGTAACATGGCATTCTTTAGGTAACATGGCATTCTTTACCAATCTGGAGGTAATGTGGCATTTATTACCAATCTGGAGGTAACATGGCATTCTTTAGGTAACATGGCATTCTTTACCAATCTGGAGCTAACATGGCATTCTTTAGAGCGTTACCAGTTTGGACGTGAGTTTCACTGGTAGTCGTGCCGGGTGCAGAAATTGTTGTTGTGACTTGAAGGGATTTTCCAGACCTATTGAACTCCCTTTGCTGTTTATATTTATTTAAGACACCCAGCCTTTTATTGGTCCAACGCCCTGCTGACAATCAGCACTTAATGTCAAAACAACGCCAATTACACACGGTTCCTATAACCCTGCCTGTATACAATCCATCAGGGTTTAAAACAATACTTCAAACCTTTCGTCATAACTAAAATCAGCCATTTCCAATACCCATATTGGGCAAAATTCCTGTATCATGAGATACGGCACCCATTGCCTCTGTGAACAACAAGTGCAGTTTAATAAAGGTCCCGGCTGTATCTCTCTGGTTTCCTAAAAATGTACAGATGCACTGTATGAACCAACTAATGTAGAGAGGGTCCTGATGCAAGAAATTATGTTTGGGTCCCCCCCCAGCAGAAGGGCTGCCAAAAGGTAGATCTCCATCTATTGAACTCTTATGGTACTATGCCATTTGGGGATCTACCATTTGCCCATCCATGCAGAATTGTATTTGTGAGCAGTGTTTGTGCGTTTGAATATAAGCATGATTTTTGTAGCGGACCACGGATTACCTGACTGGTTACCTCCGCTATTACCTTCCTTTAGCCACTCTGGAATCATCAGCACAAGTAAATACCCATTCCCCCAGTAACCAGATGAAACATAGTCCTGAGTGTCGACTGAGGTTTATTGGAACACACGGCTTTTATCACAGACCCCTACATTGGGTCTCCTATACAATATTACAGGGCTTTTCCTCCAAGGATCCTCTACAGAAAAATGTACAATATTCTAAACACTCCAAAAATACATTTTAAAAAGGGGCTAATTTGTATTGCATGGGAGGTCAGAGCTTAAAACCCAACTAGAGGGATCAGCTAATAGAGCCCCTAGAGGGCTCAGTCACTAGAGGGATCAGCAACTAGAGGGATCAGCCACTAGAGGCATCAGCCACTAGAGGGATCAGTCACTAGAGGGATCAGCAACTAGAGGGATCAGCAACTAGAGGGATCAGTCACTAAAGGGATCAGCAACTAGAGGGATCAGCAACTAGAGGGATCAGCCACTAGAGGGATCAGCAACTAGAGGCATCAGCCACTAGAGGGATCAGCCACTAGAGGCATCAGCCACTAGAGGCATCAGTCACTAGAGGGATCAGCAACTAGAGGGATCAGCAACTAGAGAGATCAGCAACTAGAGGGATCAGCCACTAGAGGCATCAGCCACTAGAGGGATCAGCCACTAGAGGGATCAGCCACTAGAGGGATCAGCAACTAGAGGGATCAGCCACTAGAGGGATCAGCAACTAGAGGGATCAGCCACTAGAAGGATCAGCCACTAGAAGGATCAGCCACTAGAGGGATCAGCAACTAGAGGGATCAGCTAATAGCGAGATCAGTCACTAGAGAGATCAGCCCCTAGAGGGTTTAGTCACTAGAGGGATCAGCCACTAGAGGGATCAGCTAATAGAGAGATCAGCCACTAGAGGGATCAGCAACTAGAGGGATCAGCTAATAGAGAGATCAACCACTAGAGAGATCAGCCACTAGAGAGATCAGTCACCAGAGGGATCAGTCACTAGAGACATCAGCAACTAGAGGGATCAGCTAATAGAGAGATCAGTCACTAGAGAGATCAGTCAATAGAGATCAGCCCCTAGAGGGTTTAGTCACTAGAGGGATCAGCCACTAGAGGGATCAGTCAATAGAGACATCAGCAACTAGAGGGATCAGTCACTAGAGAGATCAGCCAATAGAGAGATCAGCCCCTAGAGGGATCAGCCAATAGAGGGATCAGCTAATAGAGAGATCAGCCACTAGAGGGATCAGCCACTAGAGGGATCAGTCAATAGAGACATCAGTCACTAGAGACATCAGCAACTAGAGGGATCAGCTAATAGAGAGATCAGTCACTAGAGAGATCAGTCAATAGAGATCAGCCCCTAGAGGGTTTAGTCACTAGAGGGATCAGCCACTAGAGGGATCAGCTAATAGAGAGATCAGCCACTAGAGGGATCAGCCAATAGAGGGATCAGCAACTAGAGGGATCAGCTAATAGAGAGATCAACCACTAGAGAGATCAGCCACTAGAGGGATCAGCCACTAGAGGGATCAGCTAATAGAAAGATCAGCCACTAGAGGGATCAGTCACTAGAGGGATCAGCCACTAGAGGGATCAGCCACTAGAGGGATCAGTCAATAGAGGGATCAGTAACTAGAGAGATCAGCTAATAGAGAGATCAGCCAATAGAGAGATCAGCTAATAGAGAGATCAGCCCCTAGAGGGATCAGCCAATAGAGAGATCAGCCCCTAGAGGGATCAGCCACTAGAGGGATCAGCAACTAGAGGGATCAGCCCCTAGAGGGATCAGCCACTAGAGGGATCAGTCAATAGAGACATCAGCCACTAGAGGGATCAGCCACTAGAGGCATCAGTCACTAGAGGGATCAGCAACTAGAGGGATCAGCCACTAGAGGGATCAGCCACTAGAGGGATCAGCCACTAGAGGGATCAGCCCCTAGAGGGATCAGCCACTAGAGGGATCAGTCAATAGAGACATCAGCCA